TTGTTTGCAGAATAATCATGTGTATTTCTAAGGGTGCCGCAGCGCCAGAATTTACTTATAATGCTGTTATAGGAGGGGTATTGATGCCCATGTAGTAGTTTAGGCGAAGGATTCAGAGTCTACGCCTCCATTAGATGAGAAACATTATTCTATGAAGTGCCTGGATATACCAGGAGAGATATTGCATGAAGTTTATTCATCTGTCCAAATTTCCGATGGTCAGGAGTGCAAAGATTCCCATACTACGGTTATATGAAAGTACTGATGGTTGAGATATATGGATGAGTTTGAGTGCTATTATACTAAGAGCACCATTACATGCGAAGGGTCCTGGCGGGAAGAGTACGCTTACCCTGACAGCACTATTATTTGAGCAGTACCAATGTAGAAGGAGTGTTTTTATATTAGAGGTACATTCTTGAAAATAATACTTTTATTTTAGGATAACTAATATTATTTATGGAATGATTTACCATAATGAGTACGCATATCCCTGGAGTACCGATATCACAGGTGTTTGGATATAAGGTTAACGGCTCCATTATATGAAGTATGGGATTTTGGAAATCCTGTCGATTGCCTGGAATACTATTCCTTGAAAAATATTGCTACACCCGGAATACTATAATGTTAAGAGTACTTTTGTGTGTGCAGTATTAACATTCCAGGAGTGGTATTATTACTGGAGCACTATTCTGTGAAATGCACCGATATTCCAGGAAAACTATTGCCACAAAAATACCGATGTGTATTCATTTCAAATAGTGAAGATTATAGGAATTCCCGTAGTACTGTTATATGAATGTATTAATGGATGAACTATAGTGATATTTGCAAACTACGGTTATCTGTAGAGCAAAGTCGCATAAGAATAATGGATCATCCGGAACTATATTCTGTGAGCCATCTCACGTGTGCGTAGTATTCCTATTTGCAAAGCAAAGTTGTGCAATGATGATGCCTGTCTCGGAACCACGATTATTTGAAGGGTTTCGATATACGCAGACTGTTTTTATATAGGGGGCACTATTTTATTAAGCGTAATAATATATCCGCAGTAGTATGTAGTGAGCTAAAGGCATGTGCCCCGAATATTACTATGGGGTGGATAGAACATTGAACGCTTCGTTATTTGAATAGAGCCATTGTTCATACAGCACTGATGTTTTCTCATTTGCGGTACCTTATCATTTAAGGGATTAGAATGCCGGCTGTAATATAAGGACATAACAGTTTTACGAAGTCCTTTGAATTATCTGCAATAGCATTATTTGAAGAAAAGGGGTATCCTAAAAGTAGTATTATATGCCGAATACTTTCCTCCTTGGAGTATCATTGGTGTTGATAACATTAATGCTACAAGAATAGCTTTGAAACTAGGATACGAATATCCATAACATACAAACCACTTATCATCTTAGGAAGAGGAGAAAAGGAAGATGAAGTAGAAGAAATGCCCCAACTGAAGTTTATAAATTGAAGGTACTGCGACATTGAGCACAATTCTCCATTTCAGAGGAAAAATAAATATATAGGGTAAAACCATATAACTGACTTAAGAATATCAACACACATGGTCAGAAAGCAGCAACCAAACATGCGAAGGAGAAGTAGCACCCTATAACCAAAGGGACAAGGCTAAATGAACAAATAAGAGTACCTAAAGCAATGTTGACAGGGAAGGAATCAACCCACAAAAGGGGAAGGTGAACCAAGGAGGGGACACTTACAGTAACATATGAGGTGGGATGTTCACAGGGCCCAATACCGCATCAAATAAGGGAGGAGTTGATTGCCAACTTTCATGTCTCAGAGTACAGGCGATTATTCGCAATTAGCAAGAGAAATATATAAGTACGAAATTTCTTACATATATTAATTGGTGTTCTAAATTTTCTCCTGTTTCTATTGAGCGTTATGGCTTGAATTAAAAACTCTACAATTCTATCTCTTGCTCTACGATGTAATATCCTATGATACCCTTTGTGATGTTATGCATGAAAATATATAATGGTTTAAAATAGATTTATTTCTTCTTTGAAGTTTCAGAGGCTTCCTTAAAACTTATTTTGTTTTTGTAGAGATATAACACACTTTCTGATGTAGATCCTGGAGGGGTTAAAACCTTAGGTCTCTCTATAGTTACTGTAAAGGTGTCCCTTCTTGTTTTATCTAAAATCCTAATCATAAGATATCTATGTTGACTGCATGGGTCACTACTGGTCAGGGGTCTAACATGAAAGCTCTGTTCTTACCTGTATATTCTGTTTTGCCCTGATTTCGAATATAAGGATTCCAATTCTTTGGATCGAATTACTCACATGACTTTGATTTTACTTTTTCCTATTCCTTTGCAGATTATGAGCGAAAAGCCTATGAAAATAATTCCTTAAGTTTGAGAAATCCTCCACCTTTTTATATATAGCAGTACTTTGGCAGTAGGAAGACTCATTAAAAATGAATCCAGCCAATCATCGGCGCTTTTACTCATGTAATGTGTGGCTAAGTTGCTGCAGAACGTTATATATAATTCCACGATTCATGGTTTACCAATCACGCATAACCCATATTGTTAAAGAGAAATGCGGCACAGGAACAGAATTATATGTAATATTAACAGGGACGGGTTTGACTCAGAATGAAAGAAGGAGGAATTAACAAATATTCCTACCTAAAATGAAACTTAACGAAAAAGGTAAAGAGGAGGGAGAAAGGGATTGTACATAAAGATATGAACATTCAAATCCTACACATAAGCTTTGAGCGCACCATCAAATAAGTACATAAGAAGAAGAAAACATTTGCAGAAGTCACGCTACATTTAGGACAAGTGCGCGAATTCTAATATGACCTGATTCTATGTTATTTTAAAGAATTATTTGCAGATGACATTCGCATTTGACTGAATTAATTCGGCAATCGCGACTATATTACATTAAATTGAGAGTTCTCATCAGGCATAAATCGGCCTTAACTGCACTATGCGTACAACTACGCTTCCTTCCTTCTAATTCCAATCTTATGGTTCATTTCCCGCAGCGTACAGATATTCTTAAAGGATAAAATATGCAATTACTCATATCCCCGTGAACTGCAAAATTTTAGGATGAGAAATAAGTGGACTCGACTTCCGGATTTAGGCGCATTGCTGACAGCTATACTGGTGACGTTCCGTCTTAAGTCACATGGGTCCTATCCGGTCCTATATTTGACAGTACATGTGAAGTATATTCTAACTTCTCGCACTCATGACATTTTCCGGTATGTTTGCTTAACTTCGGTGAGATACTATATATATCTATAACATTAGAAGAAACAACAATTTCAGTTGCTCGCGTAAGAATGTCCGATATCCCACAGTTCCTGAATTGATCGAGATTACCTTCAGACGCCACCTTGCACAGTTGTTGTTATCATTATACGGATTATGCTTTTAGAAATTGGCTGACATAGGATGTAATTAATGTATTGAAGGTATTCTTGGTTATCCAAAATTTATAATCATATGGAACATATCGTATCTTTAATACGTGACGTATTTATGGATTAAGCTAAAAGAAGAGTGTAAGAATGTTACTGAGGCATATAACTCCCTTACTTATTTTCTTCACATGATAGGGAATGATTTTTCTCCTCCTTCATCTTTATGTTATCTCTGTTTCTGTCATTCTAACTTTTAACAGTCTCCTAATGGGTATGTTGATCAATGCCGCTTGCCTCCTTTACCGTTCATTGCAGAAAAGGACCTGATATTAGAGGGACGACGGATACTATTATGAATATAGTCACAATTTGTATTATTCCCAGTTATTTTTTTATTCCCTTATCTATTTCTGGTAATATTTCAGGTAATGAAGGCCAAAGTGGCCATATCTAGAATTAGATATCCTCCTTTGAAATAGTGGACAGGACAAACCTAATATATTTGTTATAACCCAATCCGTATTGAGGAATGGCGTCATTATAAATAATATAATTAGTTGTGTATAAGTGTTTATATTGTTATATCTCTTATATTGAGAGAGAATAGATTTATAACGGTAATGATAGAGAAGATGGGACGCCAAAAGAAGGAGATTATATGATAAAATAATCAAAGCATTACTTCATCGTCATGAGATTAAATATGATACAAAACAGTTGTTGCTCATTATTTAATAAAATTATGAAATTGTTAAATAAAGAAAAGAATGTTATCAATGTCGTATCCTCCTGTCGCTTAATTCTCCAGTAATGAGTGTATAAACCACCTAAAGGAAACTAAGGAAAGTCAGGTAGTTAGATTAATAACTTTACCAATGTCACACTAATCTATAATCAGAGGGAACCCCTAACCAAGAGGGATCCTACGACAAGTCTTATAGATTATTAGGGAATCTATAAGAGACTTCTTTAGTCTCTATGTATATTTAGCCACTAATAATGGACTCAAACATGTGAGCCTTCTTATATATAACCTTCTTGCGTCATCCTTATTGTGAATAAAACTTCAGCTTTCTCATGATTCATATATTGAAGGAAGCATAATAATGGTAAGTGATGTGAGAAGTCCATATGTTATTTATACACATATGTACAGAAAATATTAATATTAAATATTCCCTAGATAGGATTGTGTACAGACTGATAAAATTAAGTAAATAATACGGTAGTAATTATGAAGTTTCTGAAATAGATTAACCATAGTGCTAAAAAAATGTTCATATATTGAGGATTACTGGATGAACAGGCAGAGGAACTAACTCTACACCGGGAAAATTGTAGGTTTCTTATTGAATATGTTACGTTTTCAAAATATAATTAAACAGAAGCATGAGGGCCCAACTTAAGGACAGAAGTCCTAATAGTTAAATAGTTTTTACAGCCAGTGTACAGCAGTCACTTCACCTTATATGTTAACTAGTCTGTATAATTCTTTTGTCTAATCTTATACTATATTAAGGGCTTGTGATAAATATATTTATTCTATAACTGCTAGATATCCATGAATGCAATTTAAGAACAGAAGGATGATTATCACATCTATAAGAAAAAACTGAAGATATGTTATATTATTTGTGATCTTAACGATTGGTTATTAATTGGAGCAACATCCAAAACTGTAGGCTGTCCCCGAGAATTAGGTCCTACAGAGGTGGGAACTCCACGTTATAATAACAATGATCAGGAAAACTATGAATTAAACTATATAGTATTAAGCATTAGGCGAGAAATACAAGCAACCTAAAGGAAAATGATATCCAGCGAAAACATTCTCCATATTATAATACAAATAGAGGAACTCAAACAACAATAACCAGGAAAATTTATACTCCCCACCAGCTTGTCTGATTAGAAGGAATATGCAACTACCAGGTAGGCATTGTACGCATAATATAAGATACTATTAAATATAATGGAAACCGAGGGTACGGAAGAATAAAGAAGCTGGTTAAGAATTATTATGTATAAGAGAAAATCCAAAACAGGTAATAAAAATAAAAGTCTTAACCTTAATGAACTACCCAGAAGATAAGCAAGGTGCAAACTAAACCAAATATGAGGGGGAACAAGCGAATAATGACAGATAAGTAATACGGAGCCAAGTCCAATATTGAAACCTAGTAAATTACCAATTAACAGAAGGAAAAGGTGATGTAATTTCTATAATGCGTATTTAGTATCTTCATAATTGGCGCAAGCAGATAATTTAAGTAAAATCAGAAACCAGGAAGCCCCAGGAGCTAGTACATAAAAGTTTTTCGTTATAATATTAGAAGTGTCGAATATGTGACTATCGAAAGATTAGAAGTATATACAACTCTAAAACAACTCCCGAACTGTCCAGGAGAAATGGAAAGATATAGGACTCCTTCTTATATGGAATACCGAATGGTCAACCGATAAATTATAAGTCACATCTTATTAGCAAAATTTGACCCTTAGGCAAAGCAATATAAACATCACTCTATCTCCGGTGCGAATTAACTCTCATGAGCAGGGACGAAATAATATCGAGTTAAGAGTACATTAATAATTATACACACTACTGTCCATTTATTGTTGGTACCGAAAACAGGGAGGGCATGAATAGTGTATTACGAGGCGACTACACATAGAAGGAGCAGATGGAGAAGTACCGATGACTGCCGTACATCGCTACAACGCCTGGCCAAATCCCAATGTTATTCGGAAGAGGATCCTGAAGACGAAAGAAGAAGTCAAAAAGGGAAGATAAGGGCGCGCCTAGATACCCACGGGACAGGACAGAGCAGAAGGGCATGGCGGAGAAATCCCTCCCAAACTGAAGCGAACGACCAGGGGAATAATGCGAAGCGGAAACCCAAAGCCGGGGGGGAATTGACCCGTTTACACCTACCAAGAGAGGGAAAAAGAAACCCCCCGAAAAGTAATATCGTAAGGAGGTCTGAGAATTTCAGGCCAGACACTCTCCACGGAAAGTAAAACGAACCAGAACAGTGGGGATCTAAGTCACCCAGGAAAAAACCAACAAGACGCTTAAAACTCTCGATGGACTATCGAGACCCCCCAACGAGAGTGCAATCCCCCCCATAAAACAGCCAAACAGGAAAAATCGCAGAAAAGGCAGAGACATATACTGCCCCCCTGGACAAGTATTAGGTACTTAGAATCAAAACCTTGAGGAACCCAAGATAAATCAGCAGGCCTTCCCCAGGAAGGGAGCCTACACCTGTTAAGCAAAATATGATCTGCCCCCCTCCGTTCAGAACCCCAGGAAAACAGAACAACGGATCAGCAGCTGGCCCCCAAAGAAACAACAAGCAACAACCACGTCTATTGAGAAAGAAACTCTAAGCAATATTCAAGTTGCAATACATCGCATACATAGAATCAAGATTTCAAGTAAATTCTCATCCGAAACAGGAAGTATTGCCACTTATGACATCCAGATCATAGGCGCAGTCGATAACATTATAACAAAAAACGGCTTTCAGAAGGAGATGACCGATTCTGATGAGCGACGAGTTCAGCTGCAAGAAAAGAGTACCCAAGAGCAGATAAGATGCTGGAGAGAAGTAGGAAGGCAAAACACCAAGTCTTCCAACTACCAGCTCGGAAAGTATAGAAACAAGAGGAGGAAACCCCGGGAACACAATCAGAAGCCAAGAAGAAGCAAAAAAGAATCAAAAGAATGACTTAACATTAAAATATGGCCTACGCATTTTATTACACCCGCCTAAGAATGAAGGGACATCTCATAACAAAAGCCCAGCAACTGGACCTATCCCCCTGGGGGAAAAGTGGACAAATCAGTAGAAACAAGTCCAAAGCCGGAGTAGTCAAGAGGCGTTTAAACAGCTGGTTGGTGCGAGATCTTTATACTAGTTTAATGAGGATGCAATGATCTCCTATATACCAATGAGAATAGGACGTGGAACCAATCCCAAAAACAATCCTGAGGATGTCATAGGAATCGCAAGAACAACCCATAACGGCACAGAAGTGATAGTCAGGGATCGAAGGGAAAATATCTGGCTTAATCAACAGACAAGTCAGGAACACTACACGCTGAATGCAGATTTTAGGGCAAATCTATACTACCAAAACAGAACAGCAGTCTAAGAATAACCGTACCCAAAAAGACATGAAGTCTTGAGAGTGTTATGGCAAAGAAGAAACATGTTAACACAGGACAGGGAAGTTTGACCTATAAAGATAGGACCCCAACAATATAATAGGCAATGAAGAATGTAAGTTAAATCATTATAGCCCACGTAATAGATGGACAAATCCGGCCAGCCGGCAGGAGAATTAACTTATATCGGGAAGCTGCCAAGCGCAGCCCAAGAACATCAATCCCCCGAGAAAACTCCCCAATCAGTAGAATCCAGTGGTGGACCCCTAACCCCGAGCTACATCCAACCCGGAGCAAGGGCACCCTAGGAAGAAGAAGAGGAAGCTATCCGAAGACATTTCAAGGGAGGTAGCAACGAGAGATCTAGCCTATGCACAAGATACTCCACCTCAGAAGTACTACAAGGAATAAGTTAACAAAACTTCCCGAGAAACACCGAAAGGAGAGAAGCGGAAGCAGAAAACCTAGAGGCTCACCAAAGGAGAGAAATGTATGAACATAGATAAGCCAGCAACAGCAAACTACAACTCAAGAGTATCAATAATTGATCCGAAACGAGCGCGTGATTGAAGCGAAATAAAGAGAAAGAACGAGCAAATAAAAAATTGAGACACGATCCCAACACGAGAAAAAGGGCCTTGATGTCTTTATAAATCAATGAACGTGTTTAAAGGATGAGTACAAGAAGACATTACAAGTCGCCTTCAGAGGATTAGATAAATATATATATATCAGGGGTCTACTGAAATCTCATAGCAGAAAGTCTTTCCCCATAAGTTTCCCCCGTATACATAGACATCTGGAGGTTTAAATCTACCTAAGCAAGGGAACCTCCAGAAGAGGAGCCTCTAATCTAAAAAAAGGAGAAGTGAGAAGAGTCTAGACAAAACGAAAAAGGCAAAAGTTAAGATAATAGTCATGACTCAAATGCAACTCATCAAACGTCTCGTCAAACAAGACAATCGACAACGCCACCCACCACAGAGGTAAACACGTCTGACAGATTAAAAAGATATAACAAATACAAGCGGCTTAAACCCAAGTCAAAGAGACAACAATCTTAAATAGACAGTAAAAGAAGAGTCCGTGTATCAAGCAATAAGAAAGAGAAGGTGAGCAGAGAACAAGAATCGTAATCAAAAGGAGAAATCCGAAAAAACAAACAGGAGGAACTCTGAGAAGGTATGAACTGAAGAATACTAGGCGTACAGTTTTTTCGAATGACGCACTTATTCCTAGTTTGATAAGGAAGTGACCAGAAGATTAAATTAACTCGAAGAAAAAAATGGATTCAATATATAACACGAGTAGAAAGAAACTAAACAGGGACAAAGAAAATATCCTGAGTCATCAGAGACAAAATCCAGGGGGATACCATGAAAGATCCAAATCATCAACAAGCAGCAACTCCCAGAAAAACAAAGTATCGGAATAAGGACTATGATACCTGAGGCCAAAGAGTGAAGCAATGATAAAACTCATGAGTCCGAAGTCAATGGGGGGCTCTAAATCAGAGAGTGAGGGAGCATGATAAAGAGGAGAGGAGGGGGCTGAGACACAAAAACAGAGGAGCTCCGGATAAGGTCTTCTCCCAGAGGAGGAAGATCGGTCATATTTCACGTTTACAAATCAGATCTTCAGATTCCAACAGGAATAGACAGAAGTAGCTAAAAGGAGTAGGAACTGAAGAAATAGTCGAAGAATTAAGCGTTCAAAATGATTAGAAAAAGGGCCAGGGCAACGGACATAGTATGAGCTAGAATAATGTCTGGTTCTCAGGAAAAAGCTCATAGACAGGAGTCCAGAGGAGGAATAACAAGTTGAATCAAAATCTCAAGCAAAAAACCTTTTTGTCCAAGCAAAACACACAGCCCCACCCAGAAGAGGATAAGGGTGCAAAATAAGGAGGAAAATAATAAAGACAGAGGAAATGATTTCGCGAAAAATACGGCTAAAATACAGATTAATTACTGAAAGCAAAGACAGCTACCACTAATCCAAACCAGGAAGGAGGTAATGAAACCTCTGGAACAAATTATCAGAGCAGTAGAAGGATTTTTCTTATCTGGCGCCCCCAAAGGGAAGTAGGGACACGAACTGTTTTAAATCAACAATTGAGAGACGAATTCAAATAAACACAAAAACTCTGCAACCCCAACCCAAAAAAAAGGACCGAGGGTTAGAACGCCCAGGACAACCAACTCAATCTATTATCTACGATTAGAAGGTCTGGCAATGTGAGAAAATCACCGAGGAAATAGGGCAATGCGTAGGAAAAGAGTCTTCTCTACCCCCTTCTAAGCTCAGCAAACACAACGCCTTGTGACTGAAGCTGATTAAAAGATCCTGGAACGAATTAGTGTAAACCCCCTGTAAAAGGAATACCTCCTACCGTCGATAAGATACATCTCATCCAGGAGGTGGCCCAGCCATCAGACACCTTAACTCATTCCAGATGATGAAGACCGTAAAGATTATTCTTTTGAGTAAGTTTAGGGAAATATAGAAAACGCCCGAACCACAAGCCAAGGCAGATGAGAGTCGCTGGCGAATGAGCCAACAACAGAAAAACAACAAAAATCGAGCATGTCCCAAAGAATCGGGAAGAACTGAGGCAAAAATTAGAACATAGCATTAAGGTGAAATATCTTTAAGGATAAGTTCAAGAATGATTCACCAGGGGTGTAAATTAGAATGCTTTAAAGATTAAGTAAAAATCAGGAATATCTATAGACATGTCCCCCCAGCAGAAACAACTTGTATTATAAAGTGGAGCCCGGGGTAAGAGAACAAGCAACAGGGACCACAAGAACGAAAATAGGTAACTGAAACAAGAGTAAACAAATCTTCAGCAGTAGGCAGAGGAGTCAGAGGATAACCTCTCAGACGCGCAACTGAAGTAATGGGTTCAGGGTGTCTGGAGGTATCACTAATTTGGGGCACTTAAGGTTAGAAAGGAACAGGAGAAAATCAGGTCCTGCAGCAAATCTGGCAGCCCAAACCATCCCCGTAAGGCTCAAACACAAAATCAAAATGAGAGCCACTGTAAAGGAACCCCCGCAAGAACTAAGGCCAAAAACAGAATAGACTCGAGGTGTCGATAAATAGCAGGCAACAGAGCAGATAAGGCTCACAAACCTAAGTGACAGAGAATAATTTAGCCAGGAGGCCACGGAGCTGGTTGGAGTAGGGAGGAAAGCAAACAGTGTGCCAAGTTAGGGAGTAGTTAAAGCAAAAACGACCCAAAGCGTAAGACTCACCCCAGCAAGGGACCAGTCTAGAACACATTAAGGACAAGAATCCAGGGAGAGAGGATGGAAGGGCGGCTAAGCGGTAAGGATATAGAGTGAGGGGCAGGTCAACAAAGGACAAGTAAGACTCTCTACCCCACGTTCACCAATTGTAGGACCTTCCGAGTATCCAGTGTGTATGAACACCCCCCAACAGCCAGCAACGAAAGACAGGGGATTCAACCGAGGCCCCCGTCGCCTAGGACCGCGGACGATGAATAAAAATGACAACAAGGATCAACAACTAAATGCCCACAACGACTTGAACTACCAAAAGAGATCAATATCCAAAATCGAGCCTACGGGTCCCCCCGAGGGTAGGAAGTGTAGAGATCTTAGCCCCGTGCCAAGGACCCAAGAAGGGCGAGTCCCAGTAGGCAGAAAAAGGGAGCAAAGGAAACAGCAAGAATCAAAGAATTATTTAGAGATCAGCCCCCCCAGAAGGGCCGTCAAAGCAGATGGAGTATTCGAAGGATGTAATAACCCGAGCAGCCTTCAGTCTGGCTGTATTGAAGAGGCAAAAAAATAACGAGATCCAAGGAGACAAAAAAGTAGGGAGATTAGGAGGGGAACACAAAAGACGACCCAAGAGAGAGATAACAAGAACAACGTCACTAGACAAACGCAGGATTCAGGACACTGTCCGTGTCGACTCAACAGGAGCCTACAGGAGCCAATATACGTTAGAAGTCTCATACGCGTCCATTTTTAAGTATGGACATAGGAAACTAACGGAGGCCTAAACCCACAAGTCTCATAATCCCCAGACTGCAGCCGCGAATATGACAAACGAAGAGGGACAGTTGGTGCCGTATCGCGACTCCTGCAGGAACAGAAGATCCAATAACAGAAGGTTCCTAAAAACAGCGTTGACTCCTATATTAAGTATTCGTTAGGAATCGAGGTTTAGCGTCATCAGTTCTAGTTGAAACTGATCGGAACGTGAACGAAGCTGACGAGTGAGGGTAGTACGGCCCCACGAACCAAGGGATGTAGTTGGGAGGCACGGAACAAGCAGATCTAACCCGAGCAGAGAGCACCCCCAAACGACAAGTGAGGAAAGAAGGATGTATCAAGACAGAGCGTGTATGGGTCAAGGCGCACAAGCAAATATGGGCGGACCTCAGGGAGAAGAGACCCCCTACAAAGGAGAAGCCAGGAATCTCAGGAGGCGAGGGTATGAGCAGGAGTATAAGGGTACTATCTAAGCCGTGAAAAGAGGACGAGAAAATTCAGCTTCACCAGGACAAGAGAACAACACCTAGCAGCTGAGGGGTTTTTTAGAGTGAGGAAATTGAACAGGGCGGATTTCGGCACCGATAAAAGTAAGGAGCAATTACGCCCCTCTCTAAGCGCCAAGTGTGAGAAGAGGGCTTGTAGAATTATTACCGTCCAAGCAGCCCATGAGGGCTACAGAGTGGTCAGCCAAATCTGACAGCCCAAAACAAAGGAGAAACGAAGACAAGTCCGAGGCCGTGCTGAGAAATAGCGGGAGGTGGGCAACTCTCACGAAGAGGACAAAGAATCAGGCAAAAAAAGGCCAGCAGAAAACCTGGCACAGAGGAAGCAGAGGACCCAGGTGGTGAACAGCAGATTAGAAGGAAGAGTCAAAGATCCCGGGGGGAGGAGCAGGTGGTTAGAAGCGTAACAGGAGGGGTAAACCGGTACCAGACGCGGAAAGCGGTGACGAAAAGGAGAGGTGAGTTCTGCTTCAACCCCGCCGAGAGGCGTAATAACAGGCCAGAAGAGGAGCAAAAGGTACAATCAAGACCACAGGGGAAGGCAGTCACAAAGGAAAAGTGGCGGCTTTAGAGTTAAGGTAGAGGTAGGTTTCCAGATATGTTTGAGAACCAGAGTAAGCGGACGCCCCACAGTCATGAGGAGGGTATCACTAGGAAAGGAGTCAGAATAAAATTTGCTTGAAGTGGACAAGTCACAAACTCAGGAGGAGATCGCAAAGGGGGCCGTTAGGATTAAATACATAGCGAAAGATGTCAGGGAATATTTATCAGGTATTTAATAGGATCGGGACTACAGAAAGCTAAGAATCCAGCACCCCCGAAGTATCAGGGTGACTAAGGTTAATGGGAAAAATCCAAAGTTTTCTCAACTGAGAAATCGAGAAGGGAGCCAATGTCCGATAGGATCAGTCGGAGTCTCCCGAGGCACACGATAAACCCAGGAAGAGACAAGATGGACTAAGACACAAAGTTACGAGGGCTACCGAATCTCGCTCCAAGGCCAGGGGATAGTTATTGAGAAGAAATAGGGGCACCAAACCAGAGACAAGAGAGAGCAGCGAGATCGGAGGTCGAGCAGGACAAGAGAAGAACCGTTAACGGAGGAGGGGAGATAGAAGGAGCAAAGGAGGGAATCCCTGAACAATATGGAGGGTGAAACAACTTAGAACGGGCCCCCCAGAGGGAGGGACAGAGACGAATCCACAGCCCCCCCAACCGGGGGGAGAAAGGGATGATTTCAGAAGGGAGGACCAAGAAAGGCAACAAGCCAGAGTCTCAGCTCCTCAAATAAGGAGGCACACCTGAAGCCAGGAGAAATGTCAGAAGATAAGAGCGAAGTGGTATGGAGGATGGATGACACAGGACAGCGGGAACCAGCGGCCATGGAGGGGGGAAGGAGGGGGATGTTTAGGAAGGGAGAGGACCTCCAAATTCTCAAATAACAATGCAGGACGAAGGGGCACAAGTCCACATAAGAGAGGAGGCCACCACACGGAATCTGCCGAGGGCCCAGCCAAAGAACAGGGGAGGTGAGTCCGAAGAGAGAAGAAGGAGGGAGATAATTTGAATAGAGGGGGTAAGCGTGGAACGAGTCCCGTTCCAAGAGATCGAAGGACGACTAAGGGTATTCGCCCTTGAGCCAGTCAGCACAGACGAAGCTCTGTAAGGGACAGATTGAATTAGAAAGAATAGAAAAATCAACAACTAGGATCAGGTACTTAAACGGGGTCGTCATCGAGAACCTCAGAGATCGAACAAGAGGTTCAAAAAGACCCGGAATCGACAGGGACTAAGATGGACGGAGGACTTTGGACAATTCATAGGGGAGGCTTGAGGAACGAGCTGAAGGGGATTAGTCCCTGGAGCGCCGCTTGGTGCCAGGATTCTAATAGCATAGGAGGATTCTGCACAGGAGCCCTTCCTAAAAGCCCAAAAGACACCAGATGGGCCGGTTTAGCGAATTGGTTGACATTAGGGCTCGGAACCAGGGGGACAGAGGTATGGCAGAACATTAAGAGCAGTTGGTCACAGAAGTCCGTTGATGGACAGGAAGGCTATAACAGCACTAGCTGGAAAACCTTCCTTGCAAAGATCTTTGAGGAAATGATAACTCAGGCGAAGCAAGTTGGCAATGGACATGCTAACCAATTGAATATCTGGGATGAGGCAGATTGGTCTAATGCATTAGGAAGAAACCATCAAGTGGCAAAAGATATCATAACCACACCAACAGGGCAGAGTTTTATAGGAGTACTGGCCTGTATCGTCCTGGGCTTGTTAAGAGTAGGAGGAAGTGAAGAAGACTCTTCAGGAAAGTATCCAGGAGTTTGCGGCAGGGTGGTAAATGAGATGAGAATAAGCATAGGAGATTGGAACAGCTGGAATGAAGACAACACCAGGGGCCTTCAGTATCCGGCAGGGAAGAAGTGCGGCTTTAACCAAATCCAGTCCAATTGTCCAGAAGCAAGATTCGCGCTATTATTATCCGTAGTAGAAGCACTGATGAAGGTATGTCCACAATGTGGTCCATACAATCTGAATTATTGGTTCAAGAGACCCCCCAACCAAGCGACCAAACAGAGGACTTCGTATTGTCAAATAGACGCAGGAATGTTGAAATGTTCGTCGGAAATCCCGAGCTCGGACAACCCAGCGAAGAGAATAACAGTAACGCAGTATAGTTATTACCAACCTCTTCCCCATGCCCCAACTCCCAAAGCCAACACCGAAACGTCTAAGGCGGATAATTCTATGGTCACGTCCCAGCAGACCAACGGGCTACTCCCAACAGCAGGCGACACGCAGGTGTTAGTCCTGTTAGAACAGTCTCCCGAAGAGCCCGCCAGTCAGGGACGAGAAGAGGAGCAGGTGCACGCAAATAACGGAACTCACAAAGCAATAGACATCTCCCTCGCCTCAAGTGGGGGCTCAGATCAGGAACATGGAGTAGATCCTCATCAGGGAGAGACAGCTCAGATTCCTGGACCCCCAGAACAACCAAGCCCGTCGGGGGCAAGCAGACATGGGAACATGCCTCAGGAGATGAGTCAGGGGGACGTAGTCAAGCAATCAGAACCGGGAGGAATATCTGAGAGTTCCATTCGAAAATCTGAGGGTGCCGCTGATTCAGGTATGAGGGGCAGTATGGGGGGGATTCTGGGAGGATTTTTTGGGACAGTAATTCTAGGAGCCATAGGTTCGTATGGTTTATGGAGAATTTATGGGAGGAAGGGGCCAAATCTTGGAGGACAAGGACTCAGACCAGGAGGACGAATATCGTATAAAGTGTTGTGAGTGACTTCTCCTTAGGAGATGAGGCATTAGGATTAATCAGGAATGGGTTAAGTTGACAACTCAGGGGCCGCAGATGCTTATGAAGTCAGCCAGCCGAGGGACCGAGTGGAGGAGTTCCGAATTAAATGAGGTTTAGGAGTCAGGAGGTTATCATTTGGTTTTAGCGTTTAGGTTATGTTTGTTACTGTTAAGGAACGACGGATGCCCCACCACCAATGGCGATTTAGAGATTAAGGTCGAGGTTTAGTTTTAGCGTTCGGGATTCGGGGTCGAGGGTTCAGGGGGTTGAGGTTTAGGCTTTGGGGTGCCGAGTGGCGAGTTCGGCGTCCAGGGTCTAGAGTTCAGGATTCATGTTTCCAGGCTTAGGGTTTTCGATTCGGGGGTTAGTCTTTAGGGCTTATGCTTCCTGGGTTTCGGGTTCGATTTTCTGGGTTTAGTGTTCCAGGTTTAGGTTTAGGATTAAGGTTTTAGGTCTAAGGGTACAGGGTTCAGGCTTTAGGGTTCTCGTATGTGGTTGAGGTTCTAGAGTTTAGAGTTTAAGATTCAAGGTTTAGGGGTTGGAGTTTAGCGTTAAGGATTTAGGGTTCAGGGTTTCCGGTTTAGGGTTCAGGGTGTAGGGTTAAGTGTTCAGGGTTTAGAGGTTGAGGTTTAGGGTTTAACCTTCAGTGTTTATGGTCCACAGCTTAGTTCTATTGTTCAGGGTTCAGCGTTCAGTTCTAGGGGTTAGGGCTTATGTTTTAGGGCTAAGGGTTTAGGGTTTCAGCTTGAGTGTTTATGGCTTAGGGATTAGTTTTAGGGTTTATGGGTCTGGGTTTACTTTTGGGAAATGAAACATATTAATATGACCCCTCTCCCCAAGAAAACTTGATACCTTCGTCCACAATCTTTAGTTTGGGCTTATCCTTGCACCTCGCTTCACTAAGTTGTTTTGTCCCATGTTATCTTACCCTTCCTCTATATGTTATTTATTCTCCGAACAGTAGGTTTTGTCTTCAACTGTGTCAAGGAGCAGTTTACATTCTGTTAATATTCTTAATTTGTCACTTCTTATTAGTCCTTCTGTTGGTTAATTATTAGTGAAGCATCGACTGTATGGTTGCTAGATGAATTACATTCCCCCAGGATGGATAGTTGATGTCTGCATTTTATCAACATAATTATATGTAAAGAAGCGCCTTTTTCAAGAAAGGACTGATTAATTGGTCAGGATATCGAATGAACCTCCTCTGACATGAGGTCTGCTAGGATCTTCTTTCTTTATAAGGAATGGTACCAGGAGAGTGACCAATAAAGAACCAGGAGCGGTGCCAGTTCTGACTTAGAAGAGTCGCTGGCTTATCGATTTGTTGTTCTTTGTTGTATCGAAAAAAGAGGGACACAAACCCTGGAAGATGTGTTCATCCTCCTCTGTTCGGTCAACCAGGTCCCGCCAAGGGGAGATTGTCTGATAATTAGATTATAGGAGCACCTCCATATAGTGAGTCATCTAGAACAACAATTTAATCATTTGTTAGAGGTGTTTCATGTTTTCATCGTTCATTATTAGCATCATCGTGGTGGTGAGTTATCCATGAGGAGTCGTCCCTGTCCAAGTTAAAGTAATCAATATATCGTTACACCCCCCCTGTATCAGTATCATGGTGGGTTCCTGGAACAGCCATGTATTAGTCTATAGGAGGAAGTTGGGATTTCTCGGAAAGTTGGATCGACCCCGGATTTAGGTTGAACCGTCGAAGGATTGTATTTTAGTGACTATTTTGTAAGTTGGAAGGAGAAATGTAACATAACATTATATAGAGGAAGTAAGTAGCCTACCAACGGACTTTGTACCCTAACAACGTTGTTCCCATAGACACTACCTTTAGAGATAAGGATAGTATCACTCTATTAAGGATGTTAGGAAGAGTCAATTGGAACTCCCCATTTTTATAGTGGAGTGATTAGTCTATCAATGGGGAGTTGTTTGATCATCGATTTTTTCCCCCCCCTTGGACACTTTAGTTTAGGTGGTCGTATTAGCCTAGTGGTTGAATGAATCTTCGGAAAGTTTCGAAATTCGGGTTTAGGGTGATTGAATAATCATTAGACACCTATAATATACGTGTGAATAGGGTTGTCCATGTAATATTTTTGTTAGGTAAAGAAATTTAATTTAGTCATGACATCGTCCTATATTATAGGAGGAGGAGTATGGAGTGGATTAATCTTCGCATAACCTAAATTACCATGGGAAGGATGAGTGATTTCACACTGAGTCAGTGACTCCCATGAAATAGAGTATTGTAAGTTAGAAGTTAGAGTTATCCCTTTTGCATTGTCCAATCCTTCCACCATGGAATGGAAGTTGTCCATCAGAAGAATGATTAGGTGATAGTAAGAGGTGAATCTTCGTCTGGTAACAGATGACATCGTCCTACATCATCGTCCTTCAACCAATCAGCTCTATTATGCAATTAAGTCGACTAGTTTTTGATTTCCAAAAATGGCATTTTTTCTTTATTGGATTAGTTAAGTCAAGTAAAGGAGGGTTGAATTGAGAAAATGTGGGTGTCTTCCCCCCTTTGACATAGGAAGTCATCTTACAGGATGAACACCCACTAGAAACTGTTGTGAGTCGTCTAATATCAGTTATAAGAGAAGGATTGTAATCAGAACTAAATCACTCCTGATAAATTTTGTTGGACCCAGGATGATTTTGTGAACAAGGTTTCCCACCCCATCTCCTCATTCCTTGGGTAAGGGGGTTACCTAGGTAGTCCATCTTGGAAGGCACTGGTTAACCCCCTTTGGGATGTGATTAGGACCCCCCTATTTTAGAATATTAGAATTAACCTAAGTTGTACACTCTATATATTGTGAATCAAGTCGTCTTAGTATGGTGTTCAGGGTTCAGAGCTTATTCTTTGGATATCACCTCCATCACTGTTCTCTATATTATTCCCCAACGCTTCCATTAGAGACACTAATATCTATATCTTCTATAATATAGCCCCCTTGGCATCCTATGCCTCCCTGATTTGGTCCTTAAGGGGTCCGGTTTGATATCATATTTAACAATTCTTGATGGTACTGTTACCTGCATATCAGAATATGTGAGTTGCCGAAAAGTCCCCTCTATATGGTCCTGAATTTTAAAGACAATGGGAGAGGAAATATTAATCTTCATTTATATATAGGTGTCTTCTTGTCATATAACCCTCCTCCTTGTTGAGGACTACTATTCCTCATTATGGGAACGAGGAATGATCTCTGCTTTTTTTGATTTTCACCTCTAGATATTTTACATAGTAATCATATATATCGAGCAATTGTGCTATAACCTTCGGGGGATGTTGTCTTCTATATTAAGAATTAAATATCTTCAAGTTCATTAGTGATGCGCAACTTCCTGGCTTTTTCAACAATATCTAGGTTTGTTTTCTGTTATTGTTTATCTTAATTCTTTATAATTGAATAGGAGTCATAAGGAACGGGTAAGGAGCTCAATTTAGGAATGAACTCCTGATATCTCCGTATTGAAAGGATTACAATAATGTTAGATTATTCTGAATTATTTGTGAGGTTTTAGATTTTAGAAAAATATGCACTGTATTATACTATAGTACAAGTGTTAATACAGACGCCTTTTAGATGCTTGTGTTACAAGGGAAAGGGGAAGCAATATATAGTGATTGGTTTAAGTCTCCCGTAGGAGAAATATGGTACCTGCGGAATTTATCTG